TCCATCCATCCATCCATCCATCCATCCATCCATCCATCCATCCGTCTGTCCGTCCATCCATCATCCGTCCATCATCCATCCATCCATATGAAGGAAAATGTATTGTTTGCACATTTTTAAATGTCTTCACATATAAATGTTTGATTGAAGTGCCTGAAGTATTTTTGCCTATCAATTGCGTAATTATATACTTTTAAGTACTGTGATTAAGCTCTGATTAGATAGTAGTGTGTACACTGTTTTGAGTGACTCATGATTTAGGTCAGTACAGGCCATGCTTAACGCACCAAACACCATAAACAGTTTTTTTTGTTTTGTTTTGTTTTCATCAGATTGCAGAACTTGAACCACTTGGCAGGAGGGACTTCCACATCAGTGACATTTTAGCCCCAGAGGGAGGGATTCGGTCAGAAGGTGGTGCCTAAGAATGATGTGATTTCCTGGTTCTGGGCCAAAACTCTGAGACACAATCTGGTTTGTTTTGATCCAGATGGAAGGTTGTGTAAGACTTTTATATCCATCTACAATTAAATGTTCATGTCTAAACTATGAATTTGTCTTAATTGGTTCATTCTTGCCTGCTTCGTAAAAACACACACATACTTTTAAATTTGTTTATTTTGCTGCACTGAATCATGTAAAACTGATTTTAAAACTATTCTAATAAATCTATTTTTTTTTCTTCTAAGAAGTCATTAGTGGACCTGATTAGAGTCACCCACTTTCGGGTGATCCCTCCTGCAGGGACCGCCCACTCTCAACAGTTTGACTCTACCTTTTTTTTTTGTTGTTTTTGCAGCTGTAATTATTGCAAATAGATATTTCCTGTAAGTGTTGATCTATCTAACCCATCAGCTTGATGGAAGTTTGACTCGTCACGCTCTGAAAAACACTTTCAGCTCCTTTCTGTTTGGATGTTTGCACCATCTTCACCTCTCTTAACATTTGTATCGAGTCAGCTGCTTCTCTGCATGACTGACTTCATGTCAAAACAACAGAGTTGTGTTGAAAACGTAATTTCAACAAAATGTACACAGTTTAATTCAGACCTGGCTTGGAAACGTCTCCCAAGCTGATGAGGAATCTCTTGTTTATTTTGCWATGTAAAAAAAGAAAATTTCCAGTTTAAAATAAACCAGATTTTTTTGTTAAACYGGGAGAACGGTGGTTTCCAAAGTGGGTCTAACTCTGATGAGGAATGTGTGATGCCGAAGATAGTTTGTAATATAGTTTCCCAGAAATCACGTAAAGTTTAAAATAGTTTGAAGCCTATTTAGTGGTCCATTTTTWACTTTTTGTCATGATCAAGTTCAGGTTGTGCTAATGGTATAGCATCACAATTTCTTGTTTTCTTTTAGGCTTGAAATACAATTTATACTTGAGCAAAATCTGAGGTCTGTTATTTCTATTTTTGGCTCCAAATCTCCCAGTAGGCAACCCATTTAACCTCCCATTTCCCTTCCTGTGGCCTGCCTTCGCTCTTTGTTGTTCTGTTTCATACAGGGCTTTAATGGACTGGACTCATTCATTTACATCAAAGTTTTTAATGTAGACAAGTTAAGGGTTTTCCAATACATCTAATTTATTACAAAATAAACTATTTCTGTGTCTGTGTTGGATCGGTATAGGCTGGACTTTAGACTGATGAAGAACACAGAAAAGTTGTGGGTCTAAAGCAAGTATAAAACATAAGGCATGCAGGCCAAATATGGCCCTCGTTATTATTTTATCAGCCCCAAAGGTAATACTTTAAATGTTCAATAAGTTTATGGGTTTTTTTATGTCTTTGTATTTAGCACATTCTTCTCGTGACAGCTGATTCAAGCCAAGAAAATTCAGTTTGAATTATTCAGTAATCTTTGATTGTGATGTGAAAAGAGCAACAGAGAATTTGATGTGCATGTGACATCAAATTTTTGTCATACTTATGAGAGCATTTTTAGAAAGAGGACATTGATAAAATATTGCAAAAGAAATTTCATGTCACTGAGATGAACAGTTGTTGAGATATTTGCCTGTGAAGTAACAGGAAGTGATGTCAAAGGGGAATGTCTGCATGTGAACAGAGCATTGCTACAACAGACAATAACCCAGACTGTAGAGAAGAGTCTGATGTTTCTTAAGATTATTTTGAGTCACTGTCAGAGAGAAATGAAGAAGTGTCAGAGTTCAAATAATACAGTTTTAATAAACAAAGACCAGAGAGTTTTCTTTGTTAAAGAGTTCCCCTTTGATGTCACTTCCTGTTTCACTTTGGCTGAGCCAAGTTCAAAGAAATTATGCCAGTTATGGGACAAAATGGGTTAAAATTGTGTGTATTATTCCAACTTTATTAAATACAAAGATGTTTTCTTTGACTTTTTGTGAAGAATATGCTTGTCACAGACATTTCAATTCTTATATTATTCTGATTTTAAAGTCAGTTTTTAAAAATAATTATATAACAATGATGATTAATTTAATTTATTAAAAGAGACGAAAGAAATTAATCCATTAAAATAAAGTATATCAAACACTTAGATCAAGCTGGGGGACTATAAGGACTGTAAGAGACTGATGAGTGGAGTGGCTGCAGCTGTGACTGATGAAACAGCGAACAGGTGTAGAAGTGGCTGGTGACACAAAGGGATACACAAAAACAAATCGAATGAGAACACGTGGAACAAGAATCACACGTCAGCACTTTAAAAACAATACGACAACATTTAAAATTTCATGTTTCATCTAAACCTGCTTCATCAGTGTTTCAATTACACAACATCAATCACACAACACAAAAATCCCTTCATTTCCATGACAATCAAACAGCAACTTAAAGGTAAATTTTTCTAGCTGTCATTTTTGTTGCTGTCTGCTGGACTTTACAGACTTTTACTTATGAACACATCTGCTCTTGTGTTTAATTCAGAAAGAAACACAACAGTTTTTTTTGTGGTCCTTCAGTGTGTTTATTTAAATGCAGGCTGATGTGTGTTTTCCAGACAGTTTGGGATGAGACCTCTGGTTAAGTTTACTCTTTCCAAAAAAGCCATTATGCTGACACACATCTGTCTCTCCAAGTTAAACAAGCTGAGATAGGAGGCAGCAGGGAGCTGGAGGAGGAGAGACACACGCTGATTTATTCAACACATCATTCAAAGGAAAGGACTGTCGACAAGGAAGGTCATCTCGGAAAGTGTTGTGTGTTAAAATAAATGTTTTAAAAACAGTCTTACAAAGCCATTGGGCTAAAAATACTGACTTTTTTCCCTCTTGTCTCTGCATTTGTCTTTGGCTCCATTCAGAACTGGCTATCTACCCTGGGCCTTTGATTGTCCCTAAACCTTGGTCTCACTTCCGATACAGGTGTAAATACACAGAGAACAGACTTTTATTGAACACTTTTATCTAAATCTAGAGTGAAGCCCCGCAAATTAACTTTTCACAGCTTGTAGACTCAGTCTTCCACAGATTTCTTTCATAGAACCTGTAAGCCCCATAATTTTGCAAAAACTGGGAATACAGTAAGCACAATACAATAAGGAACATATTTTTTCTCTCTTTTAAAAACAATATAGTTGACTAATTTTGTAACAAACATTAACTTTAAAGTGCCAGTAACACCAAATGTTTCCAATAAATATGAATGTATTTTTAGAAAGATAACATTGATAACATATTGTAAAAAGGGTTTCAAACCGCTGAGATAAACAGCATGGGAAGTGACAGGAAGTGATGTCAAAGGGGAACGACTGAATGTAAACAGACCATTGCTAAAAAGGCTAGCACAGACTGTAGAGAAGAATCTGATGTTTCTTTAGATTATTTTAATCACTATCATAGTGAGATGAAAAAGAGGTATAAAATTGTTTAAATAAACAAAAGCCAGGAAGTTGTCTTTTTCAAAGAGTTCCCCTTTGATATCACTTCCTGTTTCATTGTAGCTGAGACAAATTCAAAAGAAAATATGCCAATTATGTGATGTAAATGTTAAAATCATGTGTATTATGCCTAGTTTCTTCAATATAAATGTATTTTCTTTGACTTTTTGTATTTCATGGACATGCACGTCACAGGCACTTTAATTCAATTCCATCAAAAATAAATAAATACAGACCAGTATGTGACACGTGCCCTGTGCCCACGTTCTGCAGCGCAGCACCTTGTAACAGTTTACAGTACTGTAGCGTTTGACATGTAGCTGCTAATTGTTTCGTTCTCATGTTTTTTTTTTTTTTTGGTTGGTTCTTAATGCATCAAGACACCACCCAACTGCCCTGTAGACCTTCTATGACCACATCTACAGTCCTCTCCAAGAGCACTGAAACAACAAGTCAAATTCTTATGTTTTTGTTGAACACTGAAGACATTTGCAGACATGAGGCAAGAACTCTTGTCTCATGCTCATCTTTTGATCTTAAACCCAAATGTCTTCAGTGCACAACAAAAACATAAGAACTTGACTTGTTGTTTCAGTACTTTTGGAGGGCACTGTAGTGTTCTTTTCACGATTTGCAGGTACTCTAAGAATATGACCCCATGAATATTAGGACTTGGCTGTAACCCACGTGTCAAACTCAAATGTGACCCTCCACAGCAGTTTATGTGGCCACTGAGAGCTTCAAATATATAATAGTCTTAAAATAAGCTGTTTTAAAGCCAGTGTCGACCATAAACATCATCTCCGCTATTGCATTKTTTATTATTTTACCCACAAAATGATGGCATCCCACCTGTAGGTGGAAGTGCGCAGGGTTCAAAAGTAGCCGGTTGGTGAAATTAGCAGTGTAAAATTTCCATATCGCTGCATTTTTGCGGGCTACTTTAGCTGCAGCCCAGTTGTGAAGTTGCAGTTCCCCACTTACAAGATATAAATTTAAACTGGAACGCCCCTGCAATGGGAATTCCCTGTTGGAAAGTGGGAAAGTTCATAATTCAAGGTGGCAGCTACTCACCACAACTCAACAGTGAGTAAAACTCTTTTACTTTTATAGTATTTCTGTCTTATGTATTTCACATTTAATCAGTCGTGCATGGAGTACTTTTCAGTGTTTATAGAGGATGTGTTAAAACACTGTTTCTATGCAGAAAATACCATGTAGAGCTCAGTTATTGATTGTTGGCTGTGCTCAGCCATAGAAATGAGACAAGGAATGGGATGTTTTGTGTTTAGTCAAAGTTATTGATCCTTTGACGACCATCATAATTCTCATGAGGGTCTCGGTGAAAATGATGGTATACAAAAGAAAATTAGCACATATCTAAAATTTTCACCTATTATACCAATAAGCTATCCAATATATTTGGTACTTTACTCCTGACCACAGTAATAAAAGGTTAGTTAGCTCCAGACATGTTTTAAATTCAAACAGCTACAATACACACTTGACATGGTTTTAGGTGAAATGGCCTCCAGCAGCAGACGTCTACGAGGCCTCCTCGCAGCTGCTGTCGCCACAGGTGGAATGTGAGAACTTGTTCGGTCCTGTTAGAAGTCTCTCCGCTCCATCATCCAAACCCGCCGGTGCCAGTCGGTCCCGACAGCGACAGGTCATCCGTCAGCGAAACGCTAAGTGGCCGTTTCAGAACCGTAGGTGGCCTCTCGTGAAGGACAGAACTCCGGATCTATTCAAAGCATTGCCTCTGGCAGAGACTGTCAACACCTGGATATAAGGTGGTCCTTCGGATGGGGATGGAAACCTGAGGCTGAACTCTGCTGTAGACCTGCGTCTGAGGGTTAGGGTTAGAAACACAACGAAAACAGAGTCAGTTCCCCCAAGTCCAAACACTTTAAATGGTTGAAAGCTTTGACTGTTAAAATCCCAATGTTGCTTCATGTCAGGTCATGGAAACGTTACAAACTCTAAATGGAAGCTGTGGTTTTCATATTTTGACTGGCCCAAAGTGAATTAATACGTACTCATGAATCAATATTTGTTCTGGTTTCTAGAGCAAAGGGTCATTTAATGTGATATACTCTTCAGAACCTCAAATATTCAAATACTTCTGATTGTTGACATCTGTGTCAGATCCAGTTTTTCTGCCCCAAACTGAAGAAGCAATACACCAAATACTTATTAATCCCATAAGTACTTRTTTTTCTAAACGAGCTGCGAGCCTGAAGGGGTGAAATTCCAAAATGGAAAGGTGTTTAGACAATAAACATTGGTTTTACCAGTTTTAAGTCGCTTATTAGGTGACCTTTTTTTTATTTAGAAAAACTGAGTTTAATTCTGACTGGATTGATGAGCTAACAGCTAGTCGATGTGGATTGCACAATATTCATCATCCATTATCTATGCCCATTTCTTCCTTTCAGGGTTGCGTGGGTCACTGGTGCCCATATCCAGCAGTCACAGTGCGAGRGGCGGGGTACACCCTGGACAGGTCACAAGTCCATCACAGGGATTGCACAATAAATAAAAGAAAAAGATCATTTCTGTCTTGAAGCACAACCTTGACAAAAGGATGTTTTACAAATACCTGAGCCAACAAGCTTGTGGTTTAACTCAAACATAGGTTTTCATTATCACCTTTTACCAAAACATCTGTGATGATGTTTTTCCTGAGTGTTTCTTGTGTCTGTTTGTTAGCAAGAAACCTCTTCAAACACAGGATGAGTTGTAATGAAACTGGAAGAAAGTACTTGTTGAATGTACATCACAAATATTGAGTACCTTTTAGAGTAAACTCAGTTTAGGATGATCACAACAGCTGACCCTAAAAAGCCCAACTACCACTACAATGGTCTTTGTTTAAAACTCCCTATAACCAGAGTCAACTCTGTTTATCTGTTAGCAAAATAACTCGTGATGGATTGCAATGAAACAAGTCAAACTGATTTTAGACGGCCGCCACAGCCGACTGATTTTAGAAAACACAAAATGCTCAATCAGTCAGTCAATTTCAAAGATGTTGAGCTGGATGTTGGTGTGGTAGGAGCTGAGAATCATTCACAACACGTTTCAAGTGCTACTCACTGTATGGGCTCTTACCTTAAAAGTTATCTTTGTGTGAATCAGTCCTTTTTGTCTGTTAGCATAATTTCTCATGAACTCCCAGATGGATTTTGACCAAACTTTCAGGAAACAATCATTGGATGTGCAGCTGTAGCTGATGAACTTTAAGAGTCATTTCATTCCAAGATGGCTGCCACAGCTAATCAACATTAGCTGACACAAAAAGGCCCATAACTCAGTGAACGTTACAAACACTGAGCTAAAGCTTGGGGGTTGTAGCTGGGGTTATACCCACAGAACATGATTAATGTTTTTTTTTTTTTTAAAGTTTGACCAAAATGGCTGCAACGCTGTCATTTCTCAACGTAAGATGATTTTAGTTTTGAGAGTTGCAGAAGTGAAGTCAGAGGGTTCATCTGGCAGATCAGGACTTCACATCTGGACTGATCCGTCTCRGTTCTGACTGAGTCGCTTCCAGAGAGAGAGGTACTGTTTCAGAACGGTGTAACGTTTGTTATGCAAGGAGTTGGACAGGACCGGTTTGGGTTTTGTCTCCTCTAATGTAAAACACATGCTGCAACATATCCCCTTAAAAACCTAACATAATGCATGAAGTTATTTTGTATTTTCTTTTGAAGTTTAGTGGTTTTGCTCATTCATTAATTTAATCTGAAATGGTGAAAATACGAACGGAAACACATGAGAAGAAGAATTTGATTATTGTTACAAGAAGGTCCAAAATCCCAGTAAATTGTTGCTGCATCTTTAATCACCTTTTAAAAAATGAAGAGGATTTAGAAAGAAAAGAAAAACCTTGATGTGTTGATAAAAAAAAAAAAACTTCTCCATGAAGTGAGAGAAGTGGAGCCAAACTTCCTGGAAAACTTCACAGAAACACTGTGCTGCCACCCGGTGTGCAGATGAAGGATGGACAGAGAGCAGAAAAAATGATCCTATAATTTTATTTAGCAGCAAAAGTTTTGTAAATTTTATCTCAATGAACGGTGGAGGTAAAAAAAAAAGCCTCTGTGAGCAGCAGATTTTAAGTCTTACCACAGATTCTCAGCTGAATTTCATTCTGAACTTASATCCATTCATGAATGTGTTTTGCTATGACCCATTGTGGATCTGGCTGAAGGGTTCTGGTTGTTGTCCTGCTGGAAGGTGGACCTCCTCGTCATTGTCAAGTCTTTTACCGCCCCAATACACGTGTCAAACTCAAGGCCCGCGGGCCAAACGAGGTCTGTCACAACTTTTTATGTGACCCACGAGAGCTTCAAAGATGTATTGTTTTACCCACAAAATGACGACATTCAGTCACCATATCTGTAATTTCTCTTAATGGGATCAAAACAGTATCATTCACATTTAAAAAGCATCTTAAACAGTTTCTTAAAAGTTCCCAGTCATGTATCTTTAAATAATTTCATTGTTGTGACGTCATTTGTCTGAACAAGTGTCTGTGTTTTGTTTGATATTGTAAAATGTGTATCTTGTGTTGTGTTTTTTCCTGAATACCTTGTGTTTCTTTGTCTTCCTGCCTCAGGACTAAAGGTGTAAATTAGCAACTGTGCTATAATCTGGCTCATTTACCATCTATACAGAAGTATAAGATTATTTATTAATGTGCACTGTCCTGATTAAATAAATAAATAAATAAACAAATAAATTCTTTCATTCACTAGGTGGAGGTGCACATGGCTTCAGTTTGAAATTTGTCATGTAACTCTGGAAACTGTTAGCAGACCATTTAGTTTCCTCTAAATTTTGTTCTTCTAACTTTCTAATGCTAACMAAAACAAACAAAAACAAAAACATCCCAACAATGAAAGCTAATAACATCCACTGAAATAAATCTGACAATCAGAGCTGTCACTTTCACCTCCTCTGAACACCAGCTATAGCCAAGAAGTGTGAAGGTAGTTGATTCTGATTGGATCTGATATAATCTGACAGGATGGGTCACACACTTGGTCCAGATCATCCCCTCACAAATCCACAGGCATGTGTGAGCTAAATGAAATGGTACTGTTTGGATGGGACTGAGGAGGTGGCAGACAAGRTTTGGGGATCTTTTAGCTGTTAAAGAACAGAAAGCAATGGAATCAGATTGTACTGTGGTACTTTGGATCAGAGGATTTAACTTGGACAGCATCTCTTGTTCATCTCATCAGTGTATGGTAAGACTCTTGATTATAATTATAACTGAACATGTTTTCGATTAATCTCTCTAATACTTCAAATAAAGTAAAAAGTAACATTTTCCAMTGTTTCATTCCAGGGCAGTTGTTCTTCATCCACTGAGCTGTAGAGGTGGTGAGGCTGGAGATGCGTCGGCAGCAATGTGCCTTCACCCCTACCACTCCTTCGCTCCTTCCTCTCTGTTCCCCCTCGAGGTTCCTCTTGGTTCTCCTCACCTCCCTGTGTTTGTTACCGTCCCAAACCAACGCAGCCTGGTTTCAGGTCGGGGTGGTGGGACCGTGGGGGTGTGACCCCATGTTCGGCAAGGCTCTTCCACACGTGGCAGCGCAGCTGGCTGTCAATCGCATCAACAGAGACCCCTCGTTGACCCACGCCAAGACGTTCGCCTACGCTGTGCTGCAGGTAGAACACAAATGTGTGAAATGTTTAAACCAGTGTCAGTATACTGTATATATATATACTCATTGCATAAAATACTTTAAAAATTGTTAGATGTGTTTAAAAAATTTGTTTCTTTTAACTATTAGCTGATTAGTGGAACTAAGCCCACTGTGATAAAAGAAATCCCTGCAGATAAAGTTAGATTTAGTGACAATTAGATTAAATGCACTTTTTGCTTGTTTATCAAGTTATTTTTGGGTTAAACAAKGAAGCATCTTTCTTCAGGAATCATGTGAGACATCCAGGGGTCTGGAGGCTTTTGTGRGTTTTCACACCAAGGCCTCTGGTTTCATTGGACCTACCAACCCTGGATACTGCGATGCTGCTTCAATGCTGAGTAAAGGCTGGAACAAAGTAGGCCGCAGTAGTATTGAAAACATATATTCTTTAAGAACCATGACACATTTTAAATGGTGTAATTTTGCTGGTTTTGTTTATCTCATACAGGAAGTTTTTGTAAGCAAGACTGTTATATTTCTGCTCATACTATCTTCCTGAAGGCAATATTTCCTTGGGCTTGTGTCGGCTATGAGCTGGATGATGTTCGGAGCCATCCCACCTTTGCCCGATCACTGGCCAGGCCCACCCAGGTGCTTCACAGAGTCATGAGCTACTTCAGGTGGGCTCATATTGGCATCATCTCRTCCTCAGAGGACGTCTGGGTAGAAACGGCAACTAAGGTTCGGATTTTTGTCTTTGTCTTTTACCATATGTACCATATTAAACACCCATGTTCATAAACCAAGATTATGATCAGACAAAACAATTGCAAAACTATATCAATATTTAATAAAACCAAGATTTAGTGGTATTTTTTCATAATACGGCCCAGTRATTAATGGTCACATTCACATACCTGATACCTACTGAGCATGTATGTACCTAGTACTGGTATGTAYTTGTTATTTATGGTGTAAATACTGAATACTTAACTGTAATTATGTAGTATGTATCTGGTACTTACCTGGTCTTTACTTTATACATGATTGTTTACATGTACCAGGTACCTATCTAGTACTTATCTGGTATGAACCAGGCACCTACTTACCAGGTCCATACTGGTATGTACCATGCTGTTATAGGCGTCATGTTTTTCTTTAAATTTGATGCTTTCTATTAAAAATTCCCTGAAGTTTTATTTTTCATTTTTTTATTTTCTTGTTAGGTGGCTGACTCCTTGAGGACCCATGGTATTCCAGTCAGACTGGTCAGTTTTATGGAAAACACACCTCATGGTATTAGACGAACTCTGGCCAAAGTCCGCAAGATGAAAGAAATACGAGGTAAATTGGCCTGAAAGTGGACATAAATCATTTAATAATACTGAAAAACAAAAGTGTTTTTGTTCTTTGTTCTTAATAGAATACTTATAAAAAAACATCTTACTGTAACATTTGATAGCAAAAAAAAAAGTATTAACAGTCAAGCCCACTAAAAACTTATTTCAGATTTTTACCATGAAAATGTTCTCTTGTTTTGTCACGATAACTATCTCTGTATAAAATAATTAGCAATTCAGTGTACAAATTTTAAAACCTTGTTCTTGTCCCAGTTGTGATCCTCTGCATGCACTCGGCTCTGATCGGTGGCTCAGCCCAAAAACATCTCCTGGAAACAGCCTACGACATGCAGATGATCGACGGCTCCTTGGTGTTTGTGCCCTACGACACGCTGCTCTACAGTCTGCCCTACCGCAATGTGACCTTCCCAGCACTGAAAAGCAACGGCAAACTCATGCAAGCCTACGATGCTGTGTTGACCGTCACCATCGAYTCCCCCAAGGTGTCGTTCTACGAGGTCTACAGAGAGGCTATGGAGAGAGGAGAGGTGGTGAGGACCATGAAACCTCAACAGGTAAAGTGTGGACCAGGGGTCTTTGTGGATGTTATAACCATGAGCAAGGCAGCTGAAACTGACATGTTTCTTCCAGGTGTCTCCTCTGTTTGGTACCATCTACAACTCAATTCTGTTCATGGCTCACACGGTGCATCGCGTTCGAGAGTCAGGAGAGTGGATGTCTGGAGGAAATCTGGCACAAAGTACACGTAGCCTGGACTTCCAGGTACTGTACATGAAGTACTCAAACAAAAGTCAAATCTAGATCCAGGAGAGCACAAGCTAGTGTACTTTTAGTGCTGGTTCCAAGCCTTAAAAATTGGAAAGGTTCTGTCAGAAAAGGTTTCCAATGTAAAACCTTTGCTARATCAAACATGGATCATCACAATAACTACATTTTAACAGAGAAGTGAGTTAAGATAATGCAAGACATGTAAAGACAATGAGACAATGGTGAGATCTGTGGTAGGACTGACTTATGGGTTCAAATTAGAAATGGGATTAGTTGAGGGATCAGTTCAGAGCCCCTTCTTGTTTGATGGACAGGTTGACAGATGAGGTCAGACAACAGTCTTCCATGTAAGGCAACAATATGATCTGTCCCGTAGCAAAATTGTCTAGCCCAGCTCACACAATGAACTCAGCTCAGATACCACAAAGAATGACAGCCCTTTGGTGGGTCAGGTGGGGTTTGCCAGAGGTGGTCCATGCATGAGCCGGCACCACATAAACCAGATCATTCCATCTTAAAAACAGTGCCATCATTACCAGACCTGTCCCACATCTGGGTGACAAAAATTTGCCGTGTCTGGCTCACACCTGTCTGATATGTGAGGTGTTGAGAGTAGTGAGCAGGTGGAAGAGAGCCTGGAGAGGTGGAGGTTGGCTCTGGAGATATAAGGAATGAGTGTCAGTAGAAGACAGAAGACATGTTCCAGAATACAACCTCTAAAAATGAATTCAGAAAAATATTCCAAAACAAACTATTCTAATCAGTCAGAGTAGTACTTGTAAAAGCCAAAGAAAAGTGTTGTTTTTATTTACCTTTATCTTCATATCTGTAATCTTCATAATCAGTATTTCACCAATATATTATTATTTTTCACCTGTGTGAATTAAGACCAATGACCAACGGTAGTGTTGGAATTTTTTTTTCTGTGAGCTTAAAAAAATCAAGCATTTCATTGACTTCACAGGGATTTAGCCACTCCATTAGAACCAGTAGCTCTGGAGAGGTTCAGCTCGACTACCTCATACTAGACACAGATGGGTCGTCCCTGCATCTGAGGCCAACCTACAGGTAAACGCGCTAGAATAAAGTGTTTAGTATTTGAATATGTGTTCTTTCCATCCAGTTTTCCAGGGATTTATGACATGGGGATTCTTCAAATTTTAGTAAAGAAAAACAATAACCCAACTGTAGCTTCTCAGGAATAATTACAGTTCTGTTCAACAATAGGATCGACTCTGAGACTGGGATGGTTCGCTTCCTAGGTAAAGAGATTCACTTCCCACAAGGGTATGGGCCCAGGAGGGACTCTGCCTGCTGGTTTACACCTGGAGTCATCTGCTCAGGGGGTGAGGACCATTTCAACAAGTGTATTAAGAAATAAAAATATCATTGCCATCTGGTTAATTTGGTTTATGGCTAGAGACCTTAATAACAAACAAAAAGTACTGCCAACTGGTACATAATACTCCTATCTGTAATTGTTAAAGTAAGCAATATCCAAAGCATGAATAAACTCACACAACAATCCTGAACATATGTGTCTATAKGTATACACGTGATTGTAGTGGGATGAAAGCTCAGTTTCACTGATAATGATGTTGTCCATGGTGTAAATCTACAAACAGCTCAATTAAACAACATGAAAGTACAGCTATGATCTGAGTAGTAGATTACACAAATACCACTCAAGATGTCTATGGTGGATGTGGTCCTAATTAAGAAAGATATAATAGGGAGACATTGTTTGATGACATTTTCTATCCTAAACAAGTTACACCATAGAGAACTTACTAAATAATGTCTAAAGTGTGACCAGATAGACATAAYCTGGAGAATAAAGAGTTTGACAGTTTTTGCTTTTACTCAGATAAAGTTTTAATAAGGGGTCATCTATAACCTTGATCTTTGACCCTTTTATTTTGAAGTCAAAAGGGATCAACATCAAATTTTATACATCTCTTTTCTGTTCCAGGGGTGGATTTGTTTTTGACCATCACCATGTTTGTTGGCTTGATAGCTGCTTCTGTTACTTCCGTGGCTCTCTTGTACTTCATCAGGTACAGAGACACAAAAAAATAAAAGATAAAAAACTAACACACAGACATATGAAACATTAAAACAAGCAAAAGGAGCATGCTCTTGTTTGTAACTTTTCACTGACTGCCTTGTTTCTTGTCCCAAAGGCGACGAATCACTCAGATCCGAATGGTCAGAGGCCCCAACAAGATCCTGTTAACTCTGGACGATGTCACTTTCATTAATCCGTCACTAAGCAACAAGGTAAGAATGCTGCTTTAGTTTTGCTTCATTGTAACCCAAAATCTCTAAAAGTTTAAAAACAAAGCAGCTGAACTTCTGTTTTGTAGTGCAAGGTTCTTCCCATCTGAGGAGCTTTAAAAATTCTAAACAGGAGTGTGGAGTTCAAGGTTTAAACTGCATGAGATGCTCTGTTTATGAGAGCTAAAGTCATATACAGTTAATCTAACTAAAGACCTCCCCCCTGAGGGTCATTAGGGTCTTGCTTTATTTTACCTTTAAACAGTGGAGGAAGTTTCAGCTTTCTAAAACTTACAATGAATGATAACTAGTCAGTTCCCTTCTAATATGTATTCCTTCATACATTTGACCATAATATCTCCCTTGTGAGCCAGTCAAACAAAGACCCTAACAACCCTCAGCAAGAGGGGAGTGGGATTAATCTGCACATTGCACTTTGAAGCATGGATATCCACTGTCCAGTTTTGAACAAAGAAGTTCCCCAGATGGGAACAGGTTCAGCTACAGAAGAGAAGTCCATTTCTTTCTTTTTTCTTTTTCTTTTTACTTTTAGGGTTTACATCCTGGATGACCATCTACACTAGCATAAAGTCAAAAAGTTGTTTTAGTATGTTTGAAATTATCTGAGCTATCCATTTTATTTAAAACTCGTTTGAAGTGGAAACCCTTTTCTTTCCTTTTCTATTCCGTAGAAACTGAGTTTGGATGACAGCAGGACCAGCCTTGCCAGGAGCACGTCTGAGCGCAGCTTTAACACGACACCCTCCTCTCAGTCCCCAGCCACCTATGAAAACTCTAATGTTGTCATTTTTGAGGTGAGATGGATTTATTGCACAAAAGAAACAAGATTACATCCATTACAAATGACATGAAGTCAAAGAAATGTGATCAAACTTTGAGTCGCTTCATGTTTTAAACTGTATGTGAAAAGTTTTTTGTCAACATGTGAACAGCTAACCAAACATTAGCTTCATTAACTCTTAATCTGATTAAATCGTGGCTTTGTTAACACTAAACATGTAAAAATAAATAAACAGCGGACGCTAACAGCTAATTGCTAACTGCTAAGATGCCAAGCCTGATTGTGTTTTTTTAGTTTGTCAGCTAGCTGTTAGCTGACTTTTTTTAACATTAGAAAAATAATTAGATACCGAATAGCGGTAGCATAAATGACCCCCTTACCAGTTCACTAGAACTCAGAACTAACCACAGATTTATTGTTTTGTGTAGGGGTCCAGAKGGGGTGGGAGGTACTCAATGGAGCACAATGAATAGCCCTTCATCAGAGCTAAACAAAAAAACAACAAAAAAAATCTGAAACTCCTATGTTTGTGCTAAAAGCATTTTTGGTAGTCCAGACAMCCCCTTTTTAGATGGAGCCCCCTCCTCAAATATGGGGTCTATCATAAAACTGTTGGCTGGCGCAGTGTAGGTCAGACACATCTATATTCCTGCCAAATTTCATGTTGACTGGTGCAGCAGTTTCCGTACTACGGTTGACCAGAAATCACAAAAAAAAAATTTAATAATAATAATAATAATAATTTAATAATAATAATAATAATAATAAAATCATCCTTATTTGTTGTTCCCCTCCACCAGGGGGACTGGGCATGGCTAAAGAGACTACCTGATGGAAACTTTGGCCGCATAAACTCCAAAACCAGTGATGTCTTCGAACTGGTATGTGACAGGATTTAGAAACACTGAAGATCAGGTCTAGTTTTTTTATGCCAAAGCAGAAAGTATAACATGACTCAGCTTTGATAGAGGGAACATGAGTGATGCATTCCTACCATTGCTGCCTTTATCTGCAGATGAACGACATGCGAAATGAGAACGTCAACCCTTTCCTTGGCTTTTTCCATGACTGTGGCGTGTTCGCTATCGTGACAGAGTTCTGCTCCAGAGGCAGCCTTGAAGACCTGCTGCTGAATGATGACGTCAAACTGGACTGGATGTTTAAGTCGTCTCTGCTGTTGGATCTGATAAAGGTAGTCGACGGGGAGAGTACTTCTAAGATAAGTTAAATCTAAAACAAGAGTTATGAACTTAGCTTTATTTTCAGTTGCCTTCAAAGTTAGCTTTGTCCTTTTCAGGGAATGAAGTATCTTCATCACCGCGGAGTGTGTCACACTCGTCTCAAGTCTCGAAACTGTGTGGTGGACGGGCGGTTTGTCCTCAAGGTTACAGACTATGGCTACAATGAGGTCCTAGAGTCACAGAGGTTCCCCTTCGTTGAAATACGTCCAGAAGGTACTTTCGGTACTATGAAGACTGGATTTTGCCTGAATTTAGTATCATAGAACGGCCCCACATAGCAAAATTGTCTGGCCCAATTCTGGCCCACACAAGGCACTAACGCTTGTCGCAAAGAAAGTCAGCCCTGATTTGGTTTGCCAGAGGTGGTACATGCATTGGCCAGCACCACATAAACCAAACCACAACTGGCATGCTAACTTAAAAACAGTGCCATCATTGCCAGACCTGGCCCACATCCAGTTGACAAACAACTCGCCATGCCTGCAGTCAGTCACCAGAGCCAGTTTGACACCTGCTCCCACCCACATCTGTCTTTTTGTTCCAGAGCTGCTGTGGACAGCTCCAGAGATCCTGAGAAGTGGGCAGCCAGGACTTCACGGGACTCTCCCCGGAGATGTGTACAGCTTTTCCATCGTCATGCAGGAGGTTGTGATCAGAGGACCTCCTTTCTGCATGTTGGACCTGTCCGATGCAGGCAAGAGAACAGCTGCACAAACTCCATTCAACCTGCAACAGCCAGGACAAAGGACACTTTTATTGTGTTTTTTATCTTTCTTTCTTTGTTATTGTTGCAAATATTTTTGTTCTCAGAAATTATGCCAATTATTTCTCACTTTTTTTCTCATAAAGTTGGCATAAAACCAGTCAAACAGCAAAACAAAGGTTTTGGATCAAGATAGGTAGTTTATTAGCCTGGTAAAAACCAGACCCTGTCCTTCACTTTGCTTCGTACAAGGAGCAGTGAAGGGAAACTAGAATTCAGCGGAACTGCGTAGGAAGGCAAGGGCCAGGCTAGTAGTTTATTGAAGTAATGCACGTTCAGGATTAGGTTTTAGAAATACTGGTTAGTTAACTTAAAGGTACACAGTCAGATCACAAAAAATATTTTGCTCTGGCACAGAAAAAGTCAGTAAAGGTCATTTACAGCCTTTTGTCTATGTTTCCAAAATTTTCAAGATGCCAAACTTTGGATTCTTATGTTTGGACCACTTGACTTCTGTTCAGTAATGTTTTTTCTGTGCTTTAGAGATCATAGAGAAGCTGCAAAGGCCTCCTCCTTTGTGCCGTCCTGTGGTCAGTCCAGATTTTGCTCCAATGGAGTGCATTCAGCTGATGAAACAGTGTTGGAATGAACAGCCAGACAAGAGGCCAACCTTCGATGAGATCTTTGATCAGGTCTGAGTCCGCTTCATTCAGTCTAAATCTATTTGAAACACTGTTTTGTGTAACTTGCATAGTAATTGGCTCCATTCTTGTTTTAGTTTAAGAATATTAATAAAGGAAAGAAAACCAACATCATAGACTCCATGCTGAGGATGCTGGAGCAGTACTCCTCGAACTTGGAGGAGCTGATCCGAGAGCGAACAGAGGAGCTGGAAATTGAAAAACAGAAAACAGAGAAGCTTCTAACGCAGATGTTGCCTGCGTAAGCTCCCGATCTCACACTCAGACATGGATGGCCAAAAGCAAAATGCCATAAATTGAGATTCTGAATTTGTGTCTCCTTCTGCCAGGTGTGTTGCAGAGGCTTTGATGATTGGAGGGACGGTGACCCCAGAATACTTTGACAACGTGTCGCTCTATTTCAGCGACATCGTTGGCTTCACCACCATCTCAGCCAACAGCGAACCCATTGAGGTAGTTGACCTCCTCAATGACCTCTACACCCTTTTTGATGCCATCATAGGAAACCATGATGTTTACAAGGTAACTGCGTCTCTTTAGTCCCGTCGCAGTCGAGACGGTAAATGTTGGACATCTTCACTCACCCTTTGATGTTCTGCTTTAGGTGGAGACGATTGGTGATGCCTACATGGTGGCATCAGGAGTCCCCGTCCCCAATGACAACCGCCATGCTGCAGAGATTGCCAATATGTCTCTGGACATTCTCAGTGCTGTGGGCACCTTTAAAATGAGACACATGCCTGACGTTCCTGTCAGGATACGCATCGGACTCCATACAGGTGCGGGAAAACCAGGCAGCCTACGAGACATTGGAACAACACAGGAAGCCAATCAAACAAAAATGTTATCAGAGAGAATACAGTTCTGAGGGCAGTTTAGAAATCTTTTCAGTCTTCTGAGTTTTAGATGTGTATGTGTATTATGCATTACTTAGATTTTTTTTTCAACCCATAAATTGTTAGTGGAAAGGAAGTTGGGTAGATTTTTGAGGGCATAAAGTTTTGATCTGATGTCTCCAGAAAGGGAACTTGATGCTTTTAGAAATGCTGAAAACTAAATTTCCTGTATGTGTTGTTCTGCAGGTCCGTGTGTAGCTGGCGTGGTGGGTCTCACGATGCCTCGCTACTGTCTTTTTGGAGACACAGTGACCACTGCTTCTCGCATGGAGTCCAGTGGGATGCGTAAGTTACTGAAAAAAGTTTTAGTTTACAAATCAGGGCATACCAACTCCACTGTCATTTTCCCCTGACCTGCACCAAAGTGCATCCAAACAGGACCCTTTCTTCTGGAAACTTAACCTTTTATTTGACAATAAATATAGATAATAACAATATACTGAGACTAAGAAAAGCAAAATATGGTCATTTATTGGACTATTGACATCTTAAGTGGTTGTAGATGTCCATTGTTTAATAATTTACATTGTCATAAAACTACAACAAACACAGGTACTATTTGTCAAAACTGTCAACCCTTATTGTACAAATTTGTTGAAACAGCCTACAGGATCCATGTCCATCAGAGTACAGTGAAGGTCCTACAGGAACTCAACCTCGGCTACAAGCTGGAGCTGAGAAGTCGCACCGAAGTCAGGGTAAAACTTCCAAAAAATAAAAATAAAAGAAAAACAGCGAAGAAAAGAATTTCATCAACAAGAAAATGGGAAGAGGAAAATAAAGTCTCTGATTGTCTTTCTGTCCCTTCATCAGGGAAAAGGAATAGAAGAGACATACTGGCTTGTGGGGAGAGACGGATTTACCAAACCTCTACCTGTTCCTCCAGAAGTCAAGTCAGGGTAGGGGTTGGTCTTATTCTTCTTCCTGTGTTAGCCTTCCTCTCCTTCATGCTTCTTCCCCTTCATTGTTTCCTCCCAATGTCCAAGTTTTATTTATGTTCCGAGTCCTGCACTGGCTTGAAAAGGTTTCCAGCCCGTTGATCTTAAATGATCCATACATGTAGCTGGTCTAGATGTCCTGAACTCCAATGTAATCTCACTGACAAAAACAAAGTTACTGACAGAATGGTGGAACTGAAAAAAACTGACCGTGTTGAAAGGGTAATGCAATGAGTACAAAATCAGATCAAAAAGGCTGCATGGTCCCGTGTCAGTAGGGTGTCTCACCTCCTCAGGCCTGGATACAATCAGCAGTTCAGTGTGGAACGGAGACATAAAGCTGTTCTATTSTCTCCTGTAAAAAGAAATGAAAGACGTGACGCAGACTGAAGCCTGGATTATACTTCAACAAGACGTGAGACAGCGGGTTGCTGATTGCGCAATTTCAGCGCGTCTTTTCCTGACCGAGTATAAACGGGCTGAAGATGCGTGGGCCATAAATTATCAATCCTCCCTCTGCCCTGCCACAACTCATATAAAGTATATAAACTACAATAACAATGGCTGGATAGTGTTTTTTCCACTCAAAATCAGTGTTAAGTTGTGTGAAGTAAAGTTGTTTTTTATTTTTTTATTTTTTTCGTTGAAGGTGAACGGAAAAAAAAGAAGCGACCAGCTGCGCACTCACGTTCATCCTTGGGACCTGGATCAAACCAGCTGCTCTTTGAGCTCTTTTTAAAACTGGCTTCAGACAAAAAAAAAACACAATTTCAAACAAAATAACACGCAGATGGAATTGAGCAACTCAGGGTCTTGTTCTGGTCCAGTTCCAAATCCTCGGCACTGACACAGCTGAGGACCACTGGGCCTCTGCGGTGCTCCTGATGAACAAACACAACCACAAACTCTGGACCTATCAGCCGCAACGTCCCGTTGGCACAGTTCTGACTGGAGGCCATGCACAAGACTGCTGCCACTGGGGGATAGCAGTGGGAGAGCAGACGGAAGTCCATCCATCCATCCATTTTCTTCCGCCTATCCGGRGTCGGGTCGCGGGGGCAGCAGCTTCAGAAGGGAGGCCCAGACCTCCCTCTCCCCAGTCACTTCTTCTTGCTCCTCCGGGGGAACCCAAAGGCATGCCCAGGCCAGCCGAGAGACATAGTCCCTCCAGCGTGTCCTGGGTCTTCCTCGGGGCCTCCTCCCAGTGGGACGTGCCTGGAACACCTCACCAGGGAAGCGTCCAGGAGGCATCCTTACCAGATGCCCGAGCCACCTCAGCTGGCTCCTCTCGACGTGGAGGAGCAGCGCCTCTACTCTGAGTCCCTTCYKGATGACCAAGCTTCTCACCCTATCCCTAAGGGAGAGCCCAGCCACCCTGCGGAGGAAACCCATTTCGGCCRCGTGTATCCGTGACCTCGTCCTTTCGGTCATGACCTAAAGCTCATGACCATAGATGAGGGTAGGAATGTAGATCAACTGGTAAATAKAGAGCTTTGCTTTTTTGACTCAGCTCTCTCTTCACCACGATGGACCGGTACAGCACCCGCTTTACAGCAGACACTGCGCCAATCCGCCTGTCGATCTCCCGCTCCCTTCTTCCCCCATTC